ACACACACACACACACACACACACACACACACACTTTCACCTCTGCCCAGCTCTTTACACGGACATACATCTTAGAATCTCTTTCTGAAAATGTCTCTTGCTTCTCTCCTCTCTGGCTGCTCATCCTCTCTCCTCATCTCCCTCTACATCCCCCCTCGCACTAACACACACTCACTGCTAGGTCTTTACACAGCTCCACTACATAGCAGTAGCTCCTTTACACAGCTTTTTCACGCCGCTCCCCTCACAGCCAAACTCTGCCCACACAGGAGTTACATTTTCAGGGTCACAACGCATTTCTTGAATAAACAATCAGAGACAGAGCCAAACTGATACACGTAAGAAATCACACGGTTTCTTTCAGGCTAGGAAGGTCACGTTGACCGGCCAGTGAGTAACGCTTGGCCACGCATGTAGCTCTAAGTTGGTGAGGGTTCCCAGACAGAAAGTAAACAGTTGGCTGAATCTTGAGCCTGTAACACAAACTGAGGCTGGGGCATGTAAAAAGTCAATTACTGTAAAGGGTTATGCCTACCAAAGTTGCCTCATGTCTGACCTTGATTCAGCAACAAACAATACCTGGGAATTCATCTTTGTGTATTTGTCTCCAGGGGCAACAGTTTGCTTTGAATATGTTCTGAAGTCTAAAATTAGCTGTCTTTATGACTGAAAATTCTAATGCTTTCCTATATCAGTTATGAAAAATATTTTAATATTATTAGAATTATACAGATTAAGCAGAAATCATCTTCCTGACCATCCACAGCAGTACATGTGCCCAAAGATGGAATATTTTCTTGAGATAAACACAAAGCAGTGGGGAAAATACCCACAGCTGTTATTAGGGAAGAAATGAAGTGGCACATGAGAGAAATTACAGACAGGAGCAACCAGTCATTTATAGTCAGTGACTCCACAGCTCTGCCAGGTGGGGCTCCCCATCAGGTGGGTCTGGTGGGTTGACCTGTTAAATACTAGTTGTCATCTGCTGGATACTCCCCGGGGCCTCCTGCAAGGTGTGTTCACACAGTGTTCTTCCGAACATTGTTCAAAGAGAATAGTCCGTAAAGAACATGTTTTAATGGCGTCCTTACACCAGTGTGAGAGGATGAATGTATTTTACTCATTGTTTCTACGTTTTTCTCTCTGGCTCTTCCCTGGGTTTCTGCTTCCGTTTGTCTGTCCTTTCGCTCTGGTCTCTCTCTCTCTCTGAATATAAAGCATCTCCGATTGATGGTGTGATCTACTTTAGTCTTGTCCTTAACCAGCCCGGTGGGTGCTGCCTCTTGATGGATTTCTTTCATCTGCCATTTTCCATTTTGTTTTCTCTGTGTCTAGTGTCTGGTTTTTGTTCTTCTCTTTCTCCTTTAGTGGTTTCTATTATATTAAGTTGGTATTTTAATTCCTAATTTTCTTTTCACTATATATATGTCTTAGGTTTTCTATTGCTGTGAATAGACACCATGATCACTGCGACTCTTATAATGGAAAACATTTGGCCAGGTGGCAGTGGTACACGCCTTAATCCCAGCCTCAGGAGGCAGAGCCAGGTGGATCTCTGTGAGTTCGAGGCCAGCCTGGTTGGTCTACAGAGCGAGATCTAGGACAGGCACCAAAACTACACAGAGAAACCTTGTCTTGAAAAACAAACAAACAAACAAACAAACAAACAAAAAGCAAAAAATTAAGGAAAACATTTAATTGAGGTGGCAGCTTATAGTTGAGAGGTTCAGTCCATCATTATCATGGCAGGGAGCATGGCAGCATGCAGGCATATATAGTGTTGGCTACATCTTGATCAGAAAGCAACAGGAAGTGAACTCAGACACTGGGTAGTGTCTTGATCATAGGAAACCTTAAAGCCTACCCCTACAGTGACACACTTCCTCCAACGAGGCCGTATCCGCTCCAACAAAGCCACATTTCCTAATAGAGCCACTCCCTATGAGATTATGTGGCGCCAATTACATTCAAACTACCACATTCCACTCCCTGGCCCCCATTAGCTTGTAATAATATCATAATGCAAAATACATTTAGTCCAACTTCAAAAGTCCCCCTAGTCTATCACAGAATCAACAATGTTTTAAAGTCCAAAGTTAAAAGTCTCTTCTGAGATTCATACAATATCTTAGCTGTAATCCCCTGTAAATCAAAATCAAACAGTAGATCACATACTTCCAACATATAATGGCACAAGATATACATTACTGTTCCAAAACATAGGAAAGGGAGCATAGTGAGGAAATACTGGACCAAAGCAAGACCAAAAACCAGCTGAGCAAACTCCAAACTCTGCATCTCCATGTCTGATGTCAAAGTGCTCTTCAGATCTCCAGCTCCTGTCAGCTTTGTTGACTGCAACACACTTCTTTCTCTTGGGCTGGTTCCACTCTCTGTTAGCAGCTTTCCTTGCAGCTGTCCCATGACTCTGGCATCATCTGGTCTCCAAGGCAATCCAGGCTTCAACTCTACAGCTTCATGTAGTGGCCTCTCTAGGCCTCCATTCACGGACACCCCTGACACTCAGTGGCTTTCCTTAGTGTCAGAGGCAGATTCCATAGCCCCTTTCCTCTGTCCTTAACTCCAGCACCCTGCGGCAGAAGCTGGAGGTTCTGTTGCTTGCTGGGGCTGGAACATGGTCCCCTTGTTCAGTTACATCTTCACCAGCTTTCTTTCACTGCCTAAGCTTGGCTGTCCTGAAACTGGATCTAGCCCAGGCTGGCCTCAAACTCCGAAACCCTCCAGCCTCTACCTTCAGAGTTCTGGGATTAAAGGCATGCACCACTACACCTGGTTCTAAATTTTTCTTTAGTTCCTTTTCACAAGTTGGGAATTTAGCTGGGTGGGATCTTGCTCTGAGGTCACCACTTTCTTTATTCCATTTCTTAATTTGTTTATCTCATTGAACACAGCACTTCATTCCTTTTCTCCTAAAAGCTTACATTTTCTTGCTCCTTTTCATTATAAATCTTCATTGGAGTTACCACTAATAACCACACAACAGAGGCTGTACTACATTGTTTTGAGATCTCCTCTGCCAACAGAATTAATCCAAAACTCTTCACTTTAGCCTCAGGCAGACTTTTCAGACAAGGTCAAAAAGCAGTCACATTTTTCACCAAGATATCACAACAATGATCTCTAGGCAACATACTAAAATTCTTCTCCTCTGAAATCCCCGACAGTTCAAATACCTCTTGGTACCAAAGTCCTCTATTAGGCAGTGCTTAAAGTATTCCATTGCTTTCCTAACACAAAGTACCAAAGTCCAAATTTCTGCAAACAAAAACATGGTCAGGCCTATCACAGCAACTAGTACCAACTTCTGGCTTAGTTTGGGTTTCTGTTGCTTTGAAGAGACACCATGACCATGGCAACTCTTATAAAGAAAAACATTTAATTGAGGTGGCGACTTACAGTTCGGAGGTTCAGTCCGTTATCATCATGGCAGAGAGTGGCAGCACACAGGCAGACATGTTGGTGCTGACTACATCTTGATCAGAAAGCAACAGGAAGTGACACTGGGCGGTATTTTGAGCATAGGGAATCTCAACGCCCGCCCCCACAGTGACACACTTCTGTAGATGTAACCGTCTTGTTAAATAAGAAACACGGACTCAACTGCAAAGTTAAAAGCCCAAGAGGTCAGAGCAAAAGCTAAGAGATAAAAACCTTACCCTTCACTGCCGCTGCTGTCTTCCTCAGCCAGAGAACTACTTCCTGTGTGTCTGTCTTTATATAGACTTTCTGTTCTGCCTTCTCATTGGTTGTAAACCAAACCACATGACCTCCTCGTCACTGCCCATCTATACAGACCTCCAGGTCTTCTATGGTTGGTATTGAGATTAAAGGCGTGTGTCTCCATGCTAGCTGTATCCCTGAACACACAGAGACCTACCCTGGTTATTCACTTCAGAGTGCATTTCCAAATATCACGAGAACTTCAGCATATAACTAAAA